CCCCCCACCTCCTCCCTCCCCTCACAATACGACCGTGCGCTATGGAAATGAGCGACACGAATCACTTTACCGAAGGGATGATAATAAAAGCAACATTTCGCTTGGCCCCGGGGCGGCGGGTGCTGCTGGCGCGCGTTGCCCGCCCGCTCACGCCCCGCGTCGTCCTCGCCGACCTCCCCCCGTTCTCTAAGCGGCCGTGACGGGGCAGCGGCGGCGTCTGGCCTGTTCCGATCACTGGGTCACTGATGGCAGAACGGGGAAGCAAAAGTCGAGTAAGTGACTGGGCAATGCGGGGCAGCAGTGCTACTGACTGACCGGCCGGCCTGCCGACGAGACGGGACGGGGACGGGGACGGGACGGTTACCGCGGCAGGCAAGGCAGACCTGACGGACCTGTCACCGGTCCTGCGCGGGACACGTCCTCATAGCCGTGCCGCGTAAGTGCGGGAGCTAGCTTCCTGGTGATGAGGCGGGAACTTTATTAGACACGCGAGCGTGTCTCTTGCGGTATTTTACCCTCGCTCGCGGCCGAAGGAAGGCCACGACCACGACGACCACGACGTCCTTCCATCGTCACTAGAATTTTTGGCTGTAGATCAGGTCCTTATCACACTGCTCGCTTACTCTTGCGCTGGGTCCTATCTGTGTTGCCCAGCCCTCGTTCATGCTAAAAATCGAATTTGTTAAACAAAATAAAAGTTTGCTTTTAATTTTATTTGTTGTTTCTGTAAAGGCTTTTGCTTTTTTCTAATCAAAACTGCTCATCCGGATAAATTATTTTGATTGTTCCCTTATTACCTGCCGAAACAAAACAAAATGCTACTGAAGCCAAAACCTTTGCTGGCTGGGATGCAGCAAACAAGCAAAACACGACATCTCCCCCTTCTTTTTTGTAGCGTGCTGTTGAACCTTATACTGTAACGGCATGAATGATGCAGTGACGGACAGTGATCGCGGCTCGTTCTCGCCGCAAAAACGCACACCTTGTACCGGCGGCGCGGTGACGGACAGAGTGACCACCACCAGCAGCAGCAGCCGCGGCCCTCATCCGGATGCGCGAGTGCGCGCGCGCCGGGGGCCATCGGCAGTCGCGGCACGGCGCCCGTGTCCATACCGCCTCGAGCGGTGCTCTCGCTACTACATGATGATGATCCCCTGCTGCCATCCCGCGGAGCAGTAGTAGCAGTCTTTGCAGCCAGCTCGTCGCGCATAACCCTTATACTCGACTCTTGAGCCGCCGCTGCTGCTGCAGCTGCAGCTGGGCGCCGCGCGCGGGATGGCCCTCGTTGAGGTGGTAGAGCACGGGACGGGGCGCGCCTAGCTCGCTGAGGCTCTCGGCCACCGCTGTCATTATATCGTCGTCGTCAGCATCTCGGCAATGCCTGCCCCTGCCGCTCTTCCTCCTGTCCCCCTACTCGGCGCACGGGGCCCTCTGCAGGGCACGACATCTGTTCGCTAATGAGCAGAGAGCTGTGGAACACAAACATGACGGCACGGCCCGGGCGCGGGCGGGGGCGGGCGGGG